TTTTTGTGAAGATTCCTTCTATATATATATCATTTAATAACTTCTAATTTAATTTTTTAATTGGGTTGAAAATTTTCTACAAGTTAACTTATATCTTTGACTACCTCTACATAAAAATTCAACCATAAATTCATTACAAGTCTTTGGATATCACCTAATTTCTAGCAAGTACTAAACATGTCAATTTTTAGGCACCTACACACTAATTCCTTCATATCTCAAAAATCAAATACTAATATACTATGAATTTTTTATATAAATTTTTTTAATATAGCCATATATATTCATAGAAATTTTGAGCTAAAAATTCATCTAAAAACTTTAAATATGGCAAAAATCAAAACCTCTATAAAAATAATTCACTTACAAATCTTAGTTATGAATGCTAACTTCCATTAGCTCTCTCTCCTTTGTTTTAGATTGTAATGTATTAATTCTTTTAAATAAAATATTACTCTTTAAGTCAGATTTCAAATATCTTTTTTTTTATTCTTTAAATCTTTCTTCAACTTTCTATACGCTTAAAAGAGTAACAATAGATACCAAAATCACACCCTAACTTCAAATAATCATAATTTTCTCATTATCACTCCAAATCAACTATTTCTTTTATCCAAATTTTAGTCCAAAAAATAAACTTTTTGAATCCAACCTCTAAAATTTGAATGCCCTGCCTTTCCTTGAAAGGTCTACCTTGTCTCAAATAGATCGCCTCAAAGTAGTTCCAAACTCTAATGTAGTTCCAAATAACATCTTAAAGCCCATTGAGCATGACTTTTAACCAATAGAAATGAAGTCTTCTATCACTCATCTTATCTACCTACATGAGATGGTCTAGAAGTCAAACTATTATACTTTTGATTTCAAAGCCCTTGTAAACTTCTTTCTAATAAATCCTACAACTTTTATCTTTAATTAAAAAAAATTAACTATAAAATTAAATAAATTAGATAAATATTTTATTATATTTATATTTTATTTTTAATTATATTTCAAACTTTCATAATATTATATATTATTTTTATATATTATATTACTTTTTAGCATGACGACATGTTAAAGATTCTTTAAAATACTACCACTTAGCTCCTTATTAGATAGTATATGTAGAGGCATGATTGAGGCCTTTGTTACTCTTTTCAGCATCTTTCTTTTCTGTATTTTTGTTTCAAGAGTCTTTAGTCTTCTTGTCTTTGACAATAGCTATTTTAGTTTTAATACTACACTATTTTTGAGTAAATATCTACTTTGTTTTAGTAATAAAAGAGTGTCTTGTGATTTTTATTATTTGTGATTTATGACTTCAATATTAATTCAATGATTTCTTTAGAAAAATAATTATATTTTTTATTTTTTTCTTTTAAAAAAACTAAATAATATGTTTTATTTATCTATAATATAAATATAATTATTTATATTGACATAAAATAGTCTTTTATATTATAAGAAATTTAAAATATATAACATCAATTTATATATCTTTTACTTCCATTTATATATTTTTATTCATAGAAATTATAAAAAAATTTAAAATTTAAAATTGTGATGTATATGTAAGTATGTAAGTAAAATAAATAGATCACTAGTTGATTTAGTATTAATTCTTATTTTTTTCTTATCTTTTTTAATTTATAATATTTTAATAATCTAAAGGAGGATGTAAATAATAAAGTAGAATAATAGACAAAAATTTATGAATCTTTTTTAATTTATAATGAATTGATAATCTAAAAGATATAAATAATAAATTAAAAAAAAATGAAGGAGGATGTCAATAATAAGCTAAAAAAAAGTTGAAAGTAATTTATGGATTTTTTTTTAAAAAATAATTACTTATATCAATTAATATTTTTAAAATATATTATTTTGAAAAAAAATTAAATATTTGTATTATACTAATAATCTATATTCTTCTTATAAATTATTATATCTATATTTTTAGAATAAAATTTAAAATATTAATTGACATAAAAAATATTAAAATTTATTATAAATTTTTATATTTTATATTTTTTATTATTGTATTTTTATTTCTTATTCAAAAGAAGGTATATATGATTCTTGGTTTGTAATAAACTAAATATAAAAATATATATTTTATATCTTAATTTCTTTAAAGACAAATATAATAACTAATAGAAATTTCTTATAAGTTATACTATCTTATTTTAATTTTTTAATACATTGTGCATAATTATGCAAAATTAAGGTATTCTAACATTTCAAAAAAATCTCAAACTAGAGTTTGACTTATTTCTTTTTCTTGGAGTCTACAATTTATTCTACTTTTAAAGAAATATTTTCTTTTATTTGAGATTTTTTTTATCTTCTTAGATTTGATTTTTTAAAGATTTTTTTCATATTTAAAGAATCCTTACAAAATGATATTTATTATATAGATATTTTTCTACAAATAAAATCCAAAAATAAAATTTTATATTAAATATAGATAGTATATAATTATAGTCCTTTTAATAGTAACAAAACAATAAATAGACTTTTAAATCACAAAAGTAGAGGTTGTAGAAAGAGTTTATTTCTATTTGAAGGTTTTTTAAAGACATTATTTTTGGAATAAGAAGTTAACTTATACATAAATAAGATATTATGATTCTAAATTATTCTTGCTTGAAATCACTTTCAAAATATATGTAACATAGTTTTTATTTTTATTTATTCTCGAAGAAAATACATAGAATAATTTTGGAAAAATCTTGTTGAAATGCACTTCACTTGAATACAGTCTTTTTTCTTGTCTCTATCATCTACAAGCTTATAATATCTTTTTTTCTACTTCTTTTAATTACCTAATATTAATACTGCATTACATAAGGCCCTTTGTAATAAAAAAAATATTATTGCAAATATAATCTAGATATAATATCATTTTTAAATAAAATAAGAACAGCTTTTTGGTCTTTAAATGATATAGAAAAAGCAACGAATTTCTTTTCTAGTTGCCTATTAGCTAAAAATCCATATTAGCTATAAATTTAGGTAATAAAACTAAACTATATGAAATTTAGAAGTGAAGTTGTAGCTCCATGAAATTCCAAACACTTTTATTGCATTACTTTGTTTTTTTTTTAGATTGATGTATGGTAATTCACTTTAGCTAGCATTTAAACATTATAATGTTCATGCATATTGTGTCAAACAAATTAACTAACTAGCTTATAAATATACTATCATTTGAAAAAATAATTAAAAATTACTATAAAAATTATTATATGTATCTCAATATCTATTAGTTATATTTTTTATATAGATCCAAGTTGAATAGATTGATAATTTGATTGGATTTATTTTATCATTCAAAATAGAATCCTTCATAATAGATACCAATTTTTTTATAAAATCATAATTTATAATTATAAATTCATAACCTATTTTCTAATATATAATTTTTTAAAAATCTTAAATAAATTTTTATATGAAAATTGATTAAAAATTATATACATATATATATATATATATATATATATATATATATATATATATATATTAAAGCTAAAAATTAAAATAAATAAGCTTATTTAATAAATAATCGTTTTTGTATATTATAATATCTTTGATAAAAATAAATTACATATTGAAAGAAAGGAAAAACAATGTAATAGCAATTCCAAGTTCTAAAAGAACTTGCAAATAAAATAAAATTAATAGTCTCAACATTATTAATAATGAATTGAAGGTAGTTTTAATCCTTTTTTTTATATTTAGATTATGTATAAAATTATGAAATTATCCGAAATTATTATAGTTTTTTTTTGGTAAAACCTCATCTTTTATGCTTTCATGACAAAGTTTATATTGAAATTTTTAGTAAATCGGATTTACTAACCTTCTAGAAATTCATCTTGAGAACATTTTTAAGTAAATTTTGAAGGATTTAAAAGAAAAGAGGGAAAAATATTAATCTTATTATTATTATTTTTTAGAGTGAGTGTTGATATTAAAAATATTTTGATACAACCTACAATGTATGTAAATTTTTTGTACAATTTATTCCTTGAACAGCAGATATTTTGACATAATCATATGATGATTATTGTTATTATTATTATTATTCAAATAAAGGAATATTTTTTTATTGTGATTTTAAATCTTAGATATTTTTTTAAATAATGTCTTTTCTTTGCTCATAGTAACTTATATGAATTTTTTTTGAAGTACATAAACAATGGGTAATTTTTTTAATTAATTTTTTTTTATTTTACTTTATAATTACTAAAATTGGTTTCACACAATCAAAAAAAATCAATGTAATTTTCTAACATTTGTTTTATTTAAAATTCATACCTCTTTGTGTTGTGATCTGATATTTCAAATTAAGCACAAATTGGTATTTAAATAGTCACTACAAATCATTATTCATCGGACATAAAATATGATTTATTCTTTATTAATTTATAAATGGAAGGAGAAAATTAGATTTCTTGCGAAGTTCATTGAATGGTCTTCCTTCCACGCATGGGTGCGTATTCTCTATACCATGTTAGGGATGTGCAACAGAATGCTACAAGAAGTACCTACTTAGGGATGTGCAACGAAATCTTCAAGGCACAAACTTCGATGCCTCATCTCGAACTTGCAGAGGGCATTGCATCACATATTGAACTGACTAGCTGTGTCGTTTTCTCTTTCTCCAATTTCCAAGTCCACAGTTATATACAGTTTGAGGTCATGCAGAGGTGTAACGTTTAGTTAGACACTCTGCATGCATAAATGTCTGAGAATATTGCAACCAAGGTTTATTTTTTTCTTTTTCTTGTCAGTTACGAGGTTTATTTGATGTTTTAATACTACACCACAATTTCGTAATTAGTGCTCACAATGTTAATGCCATTTGGGGTTCTCTAATCAAAGGTGATGGGTACCATGACTTTACACACATGCTCTCGTTAAACAACAAAGTAGATGAGTGGATTATTGATTCTGGAGATCTGGCATTACCGAATTTGAGCATACCAAAAAAGCATGGACTGTACTTGGTCAGGTCTACGCAAGGAAAATTGGTATATTTTAATCAATACTCCAGCTGAGGTGCTGGATAAGTATCACAGGTAAGGCACATTTTAAGCTGAAGAGTACTATGATTCATTTAATGTTGCTACAATCCTTCCTAATTTGTTGATCTCAAAGAAATCCTCTTTGAAGTGATAATATTTCCGCATCTTTTCCATCGCTTAACCTCAACTGTCTACTTGTGTTCATAAGCCTGGTAGTCTCAACTACGGAATGAAACCTGATACCTACAGTGATTCGACTACAGAGAAGTCTTTAGCTTCGAATGTTCTTGGTCTTGAATCTCAATGCAATATAGAACAGCACGCGGTAACCAACGACAAACAAAATCATGGCAATCACATTGATCCACAGATGCACCTTGCCCACAGAGAGTAGAGACTTGATGCTGTTCGAGTCCAAGTTGTTGTACCAGATGGCACCCTTCAAATGCCCAAACTCAATCTCCAGCAGTGCTTCATACGGGTATTTGAAAATTGACAGATAATGAACCCAGATCCAGTAATCAGGAATCCCAGATCTGCAAGCACTCAACGAACTCGTTGCATTAAAATAAAATTCGACGTTTCCAAGAACTATTCCTACGAAGGTAAAGAGGCTCCTGCATCAACTTGCTCTGAATCTGATGAATGGCCAAGTGGCTGCTAACGCATTTCCTGGAAGTGGAAGTCAAGTTTGCAATTCGATGGGTGTAAGCAAAAACTAGAACCATATCAAGGAGCTCGTGATAAAAGTGACGATACCTTGGAATGAAGAACCCAGAGAAGAGAAAAAAGTACGCGAATAGGGCAGATGACAGCGCATTGCCTGCCGTCATATCAGGAACAAAACTAGCCATAAACGCCACGAAAGCGTTGGCCACTGCCAAAGTGAGAAAAAGAATGAAGACGAAGGAGAAGAAGGCGCCTGCGTCTTTGGCCAAGCCAACCATAAAATAGGATACGCAGGAGAATATCATCGCCAGAACGAACAAGAAAGGCAGAATGACCAACGCTTGAGACAACACGTATGCTGAAACTCGGTACGCTCCCCTAGACGTCTCCCGAATGAAGATCTGACGCTCGTTAAGGAAAACAGGTAGTGCTTCAGTGGATGTGAAAATAAAGAGGGCCAGCAAAAATCCAAAGAATCCTTGACGTTGATCCACCCCCTTGGCGCTTATCCCGGCTCGAAGGAAGAGTGTTCCTAATGTTAGACCAACGACCACCTGTGCCATCATTACAGATAAAACTCAGCAACTGAATATGGATTCAGCACTAGTAACGAATAACAGAAATGATTTGTAGTAAGTTGTGAGCATACCATCAGGCCTACGCGAGAGAAGAACAACTCGGGCGTACGCAAGATGTTGATCATATTCCGGTGTCCTAGCACAAGTGATTGTGAGAAGAATGAAGTTGCAAACGAAGGTTTGTGTGGTTCCACAGCAATCGATTCAGCGTCAGTATTTGCAGCTATGAGCAACTGCTCTTCTTTAGCGTAATGGGATTTTTGCTGTGATAACATGCGTCAAGAATAAGTCAGTTTCGGCGACATTTTAAATATTATATAAAGTCTCGACCTCTCATTCTTCTTCCAAGTCTTCACACAAAAAAACCAAAAAAAAAAAAAAAAGTAAAGATTGCTGCTTACATAACTCTCGACCAGTTGCTGAAGACCGTCAGGTTGTTCTTGGTACTCCTCAATAAGATCCAATGCAAACTCTACACCGTTCATCTGCAACCACCGATACATAGGGCATCAGTTTCAAGTCTGCACCCACGACGCTGACTAATCTGTATAAAAAGGAGGGCCCTGTAAAAGACAATGATAATGGCAGTTGCAGAATTGCTTACATGTTCCGGCAAAGGGTGGCCAAGACCATGGAAGTGCTTAATAATTCCATGAATTTCACCGTGAAAAATCACATTGCCCTTCGCCATCACAAGGAACCTGTTGGTGGTCTCAAGAATCCGGTAACTGGGTTGATGGATTGTAAGCACCACAGTTCGCTGCCGGGTGACAGCCATGTGCGACAAGATCTGCATCACGTGGAGGGCGGAGGTGCTGTCAAGCCCAGACGTAGGTTCATCTAGGAAGAGTACAGCAGGGTCGTGTATCAAGTCCACACCAATGGAGACACGTCTTCTCTCTCCCCCTGAAACTCCCCGTATCTGTTCACAGATCGCTTAAACTTTAGAGTGTAGGAAATAAACTCCGACACGAAACAAACATCGTCACATCGGAACTACTCGCGACGAGTATTTGAGATTCCTTCTTCAGAATTCTAGGGGTTTGTGTACATGTGGGAAACGAAACTGAGGGAGAGTGATTACCTTTTCATCTCCTACTCTGGTGTCAGCACATTCTGCAAGGCCCAACTGCTGAATGAGAGAATTCACACGCTGTGCTTTTTCACTCATAGGCATGCTGTTTGATAGTCGAAGTCGGGCACTAAACATGAGCGTCTCTCGAGTGGTTAAAAGTGGAAAGAGGTTGTCGTCCTGAATACCAGCCGACACAAACTTCTCAGCAACCAATTAAATAGAAATAACAAGTACGACGAAGAGAGTTCAGCTCAACTAAACTCAAACTTCTCAGCAACTACAAAGTTCTGCTTCCACTGCAGGAAGACTGTTCATGTTATAAGGAAGTTCACCTGCATGACGTAACCAGAGATTCGCTTGAAAGACGAACCCATAGGTTTCCCATTAACGAGAATGTTGCCCTTGAGGCTCTTTCGTTCAATCCTCCCAGCCAGTGCATCCAGAAACGTGGTTTTGGACGAGCCCGATGGCCCTGCAATAGCGAGAACTTCGCTGTGATTGGCGCGCGCTGTCACATTGTTGAGCAGTATCTTTTCTTTCACTTTCTTTTCAACCTTCGTTTCAACCTAAAAAAATAATTCGGACATCCTCACGATCAATATAATCGCGCCACTAATATCCAGTTTCGCATTCTGTCTGGACATGATTTTTGAAGACCGTGGTGCACTGATAAATGAAACGACAGTACTGTGTGATAGCTTAAGATACTAACCTTGTACGTCAAATTACTGACGACGACGTTGTATGTGAGGTTATTTTCTGGAGAAGCGGAGTAACTGCACTTAGAAGTCGCACTGGAGCCCTCCCCCCCTGTCTCCACATCAGAAGAGTTCAAGGCCCCGTTCTGCAGTGGTTTTGCCATTCTCGAATCTTTATGGATTTAAAGGTTTCTCGAAGAAAGTGGATTTCGACGATCCTCTTGATTGCTAGTCATGATAGATTCCGCAATCTGTAGAACGTGCAGAAGATACTCAAGTTAGACCAACAATGAACTGAGTTGAGTAAATAATTGGCTCGATATGAGAACTTACCTCATCAAACGAGTCAGACACTTCCATTGTGTAGACACCTATGCGTCGCTTCTTAAGATGTGAGACGAGGAAAGCGCCGCAAGAAGCCAGACAAAACGATTTAGAATTGAGTTCCGGAACTCAATTCTAAGATCTCCTCTCTTTGCCCTTCTCGTACGGAGTACCTCATGTAGACAAGTACTCACAATTGGGCAAAGGACACGAAGCACAAGACTCGAACATCACCAGCACTCTTAGTATATTTACAAGACATTGTTCCCTGACGTTGCACACAATACAACCGTGGCAGCATTATCACTGCCCGACGAAGAGATTACAAACACATTTCACGTCCTACTGCGAGCGAAACCGCGGAGGCCACCATGTCAGAAAGGCTCGAGACAAAGGAAGCCGACAATGCATTCCAGATCTGTAATCCGACTATAACAAAGCTAAAAAAAAAAAAAATGAGAACTGCTGTAAATCTGCAGCACTCGCGCTCTAAAAAATTGGTAGGCGGCTGTCACACAAACACATGATCAAGACTATAGTACAATGAAGAGTCGGACTGTGATTAGATTCATCGAGACAATGCTAAAGCCCAAAGTTACTGATACCAGCGTTGATAAGGCCGGGTTGGTATGAATCTGGAATGAGCTGATCGGAGTAGTATAGCCCTACAGAAGCCCAGTCAGTCCTCATGCGAATTTCGTAGAAGTGGAGAACTAAGCTCTCTGCCAACATTACTAACCACTACAATGACATGTGACTCGAAACCGACCTGATACACATTCATATGCGCGTGCAACGCTCAGACAAGACCTCCACCTTCCACATTTCGGTTCACTGGACCACGTTGCCTGACCAATACGACGAAGACGAGACACAACTCCTGTGAGATACAACTCACCATCGTCTACACAGCAGTGATCATTCCCATCACGTGAGAAAACACGTCAAGCACCAGCATGGATAACGCAACCAGAGGTGCAGGGACAGATGATGCCGAATAATCAGAACTTCGACTGCGTCCTTTATAGAGAACTGCCCCGGAAGCAGACAGTTGACGATCCCCAATGCTCGATTATGAGAGATGTACCAAAAAAAACCAACGGATTGACGTCCCCCGCAAGGTCAACTGGCGCCGAGGAAATAGGTTCTGGCTCGGAGCGAAAGTAGTTCCTGAACATTAAACATTCGAAGATCTGAGCAAGGCTTTTATTGATGAGATTGACGAGAATTCGGCGAGGTCCAGTAGGGGAAAGGGAAGGAGTTACAGCGTGGTGTCTGTGGTGAAACAACAGAGTGAGGAATCCAGTGGTAGAGGAAGGGCCACCGAGCTAGCAGCCTTGGAACCAATCTGGCAGGTGTATAAATATATCCACTTCGTAGTGTGGTAGTGCTTGGGCCCGGCTAGCTGCTGTGCTGCTGCGAATGGCTCACACCAAAAGCTATAAAGCTCCGCAGATGCTTACTTTAATAAAGGAAATGCAGTCTCCCACGGCGTGGCTATAGGCAACCCTCTGGCCTCAGACCTAAGGGGAGGACTCTAAATCCACACACATTTGGCGGCATCACTGTGGGGAAATGGTAGCGCTGGAAATGAAACATGGCACGAAGCTTCGAATGCAGGAAATAGTTACATGGGGACATTACGCACGGGGGATGGCGGGATAGGCGCCAGGGATGACGTCACCACTCTATTCCTGCTTCATCGGACCTTGGCCCCCGCGCAAGGCCACCCCCCTCCCGCATGGTCATGCCCGGCATTGAGCGCCGACATCCAATGCTGGCCAGATACACATACCCTACCCTGCCCCGCTCTGGTCCGTCCGGACGGCCCGGCCTAACCCTCGACGTTGTGGATAGGAGCATGCCCTGTGTCGGTGCCCTACAAACCTCGTCCCGTTCTACCAGGTTATCAGGAATTTCGCTTGTGAAAGTGTTTCATGTGGGATCTGTAGATGACTATGCACGAATATCATATGTGATGGGACCTCATGTTTGCACTGGAATAGAAGGTGTTCAAAAAAAATCAACAATTTCAAATAAAAAAATAAACAAAAACGAAGAAAAAGTGTTGCGTATTATATTGCACTAACAATGTTTTTGTTAGAGATTGAGTTTTTTTTTTAAAGAATAATTTATTACATGTAGAATAAAACAAAATTGATAAAATATTTATGATAATAACTCTTATTTTTTTCTGTATTTAGTAGGAATTCTTGAGCTTTAGGATAATTCTAGAAACAATGGATTTTTAACGTTTTATTATTAGTTATATATATACAATTTCAACATAAAAAAATATGTTCTTTGAAAAATAAATAAAAAAAGATACACTAAAAATTACAAATATATCCAATCTCCTATAAAACTTTTAGAATCTCAAACCATATTTTATGATTTGTTTTGTCTACTAAGAATCATTGTATTTTCTTTTAAATAATTATTTAATGATCATTTATATTAAATATATTCAAAAGATTAATCAATATTTTTATTTTTTCATTTATAAAAGATTCTAAATTCTAATGTGAACAACATGTGATTTTAGTAAACCTTTATAATTGTTAATCTTATATAATCTGTTTGTTATTATGAACATAATCTTCTAATACTTACACAACATAGAATTGCTTATGATTTGAATTAAATATAATAGGTCTTAAATATATCATAACACATAATAATACGTAAACACATAATACTTACTTATACATAAACTGACTTAGGTTATATTTTTCTATATTTCATGTATTTTATAATTCCAAATCATTTCTTTCTTTTTACTTAAATAATTAATTTAAAAATAAATTCTGATTTTTTTTATATTCTTCCTTGAAATCATAGTCTTTAGTGTTTGAATTCATTTTTAGTAAAATAATTTATATATCATAGTCTTTTCTTTCTATGAAAATATTAATTTTTAAATCTTAAATAGATTCATTTGAATAGATGCATTTTAAATAGATGCATTTGAATAGATGAAAATATATATTTTAAAATTTTAAAATAATTCCTGTTCAAATGCATCTATGAAAATCTCCTATTTCTTCAAAAGCATCCAATTAATTCATTTATATATTTTATATGTTGTAATGAGATTAATATTTATTCTTTTATATAGTCACATTTCTATTTACAAATTTAACATAAACACTAAATTATTGATTGACGTACTCTAGCCAAAGTTTCTTCCATCATCCTATATAATTGTATTGAGTAGAATAAGTCAAAAATTTTATTTATATTCTATGCTTTTTTTATCTATTATATGCAAAGAACAAGAATTCGATAAAATCAAATAAATAAGTGAGCAATTTTTCAAAATAAGATGAAAAAATAGAAATAAATAAATATATATATATTCAAAAAGAAACTAAAATGGCTATTGCCAAAAGACAAGAAAAATAAAGAATTCTCCAAAATCTTAATAGAATCCCTCTATTTAATATAATACATATAAACAATCCATGATAGCAATAAATATTGTCAAGAAAAAATTTAGATATTTTTTATTTATGATATATTTTGTACATAGTACAAAATATGTCATCTTAGTAAAATTATTTATTATTATAAATATAGAATTATAAGAACCTAAAATTGAAAGATTTATAATAAAATTCATAGAAATATATGACCATTAGTGTATTTAGAATAGGTAATTACTAAAGAAGTCCATAAGATCAATGATAAGGAGTTTTAATCTTCAACAAATGTCACATGATAGTACAAAGTCTTTGACTACCTTTTACATTTGAGGCCACCAAAAATCTCCAGATATTAGCTCTAAAATTATATTGTTTCCAAAATGAGTTGGCTGCTCAAAAGTCATGGCGAGCTTGAAGAACACATACTCATGCTTTGCCTTTTAGAACGTATAATTATTTCTCAAAGTAGAGTAGATTATTTTGAAACTCAAATTTAGAAATATCGTAAGATTTAGAAGAATTATTTTTGATATTATGAACAAAAGAATCAAAAGACATACTCAATTGAATTTATTTAACAAAGATTGAATCAACAGTTAATATTGATTTTATTGCTCAAAGATGAAAATTCTTTGGCTTCAAGAGAATCATTCTTTGTTGATCAAAAGTTTCATCTTCTACTTTTGATATAAGATAAGAACGTCTAAAAATGGCATTTGATAAACCTTCTTATTTTTTAGGTTTATAAGTGATCTTGAAATTAAATCTTCATAAAGACATATTTCAATGGATTTAGGGATGATTCAAAATACATATTGACATGAAGTATTTGAGATTCTTGTGATTTATATATACAATAATTGGACTAGAAGTGCCTTTTAGATAATAACACCATTTTTGAAATGGATATATAATTGCAAAAAGCTCTTTATCTTGTATCTTGTAGTTAATCTTAGCTGTTAAAAATTTCTTGGAATAAAAGCAACTAGGTGGAGCTTATCATCTGCTTCCATTTCTAATAAAACAATATCTCCAATTGTTTTTGGGACCTTCCAATCTATGATAGTCTTGATCTTCTTAAGATCCATCATTAATCCTTCATTGAAAATGATGTACCTTAAAAATCAACCTAAGTAATATAGAATATATATTTTTTTATTTTTGTATATAATCCTACATCTCTAAGTTTTTGTAACACATGACAAACATAAAATTCATATTCATTTATATTCCTAGAGTAAATTAGAATATCATCTAAATAACTTATAATAAAATTATCAAAAAATTCACAAAAAATTTCATTTATGAGATGTTGAAAAGCAGATGGAATATTTGTGAGTCCAAAAGGCATGAAATTATATTCAAAATATCCATACCTAGTTTGAAAAGGACTCTTCTACTCATCTCTTTCTTTTAATGCAAATGAAGTTGTATATTCTTTGTAGATCTATTTTTATATAGATCTTTGCTTGATTAAATTAGTCTAAAAGTGTTAAAATCAAAGGTAAAGAATACCTATTCTTAATAGTAATCTTATTAAGTCCTTGATAGTCTATACACATCTACAGAGGTCCATCTTTTTTTATCACAAATAAGATAGGAGTTCTATCACAGACATATACATCTAAGCCAATAATTACATTTATAAATAGATAGAAGTAAGTAAAAGTAGGTAAAAATAAGTTAATTCTAAAGTATTTGATATATAAGCTTCCTAGAAGCTTCATAGATGCTGCATTGACTTTATAGGTGTCTTTAATTGTCTTTTTGGGATTAAAAATAAGGTCAACAAGTTGGCCATGTACCACACATGTTGTTAGCTTGAAGACCAAGTTAACTATGTGGCCCACATGTAGAAAAACTTGCCTTGTAAGTCAAGGCATGTGTCCTACAAAGTCAACACATATTGGAGGTTCTATAGAACTTCGCCACATAGCCTTTAGTTAAATAGTATATATAGAGACAAGAGTGAAGCCTTCTTCACTCTTGTCAATTCTTTTCTTGCTTTCAGTCTAGTTTCAAGGGTCTCTAATTTTCTTCGATTTTGGCAATAGCCATTCTAGTTTCTTTTTTAATATATATATCAAGTTATTTCTATTTTATCATCTTTCTATTAGAGAAGTCTCACTTGCTTATTTGTCTTTAACATGTTCTTATCCTTGACAGATTGACAAGAGTATACTTATAATATCAGAGCTTTGTCTAATCTTGATTAAGAGTGGATTACCCTTTTTTCTTGATAAGACATAAGCATATTAGAAGATACAGATTACCCTTTTCTAAACTGATATTATCTTTAGTATTTTTTTTGTTCTCAAGTCCTCCCTTCTATTTGTCTTGAGTGATATTAGACATCTTCTCTTTTTTAAGTGTTATCATGGCAGAACTTACTGAAATGAAGAGTACAATGGCACAAATGCAAGAGCAATTGAGGGAGTTAATGCTTGCGATGTATCAACTCAATTTACCACCACAAGAAGTAACAAGATTGGCAAGAAGTGAAGATATAGAAATGATCAGAGCTGCTTCAACATCTACACCAAATCATGTCTCTTCTCTTATGATAGAACACCCTTTTAGTGTTAGAGATCCAAGAATTGCCCTATTCAAGAAGTTTGATGGCACTAGATGAAAATTTAGAGGATTTATCAATCAAGTATAACTTGTGATTGAACTTCAATCCCAAAGCTATTCAACTCTAGGATTGTAAGTTAGATTGATTAATATGCTTCTTTCAAGTTCAACATTATCATGGTTTTCATCTTTTCTTGAACGACAAGATCCAATATTGGATAATCTAGAAGCT